TATACTGCAAAAACCAATAGCTTTGTTGATTCACGAACTCGTGGCTGATAACAGTAAGACTGTGATAAGTCTAATCGACTTACTCAAATCTACCTCGCAGGTCCTGGAGGCGGTGTGCAGAAGCATCACTAACTTTCCAAGACCGACAATAACGTCTGAGAAGAGTCAAGAGGCTCCTAGTAGCCTTCTTTAGTGTACAGAGTCAACAAACGGGGTCTGACATCCCCATCAATTCAACATTTCACACATCATGGTTTTGAGGGCTCGTGAGTATGCATTTTCGTGAAACATTAACTAAGTGCTCTTATTATTTTATTGCTTTGCGCCCATGCTCAGTACATCGGAAGTATTTAGCCTCCCTTTTTACAGCAATAAGGAGTAAGTTCAAATACCCACACCACACTTTGTTCTCTCACTCCCTCCGTATATGTGATAGCGGAAGAACAGGGTTGTGGCTGGTGCCCGATATGACACTAGGACTTTATGATTTTTGTAGTACTTGGGTCTATTTAATAGGGTGTGTTCAGGGGAAAAGAACTATTGAATTCAGGTGATTTTTAGAAGATTTTAAGATCTCTTTTGAGAATGACATTCTGAATGGATAAAAAATGAAGAAAAAAAGGTCGCCTAATACGTAATTCACGATTATGAGTTTGCGTGGAAAGTGATACAACATTGCTCGGATACTTTGAGTGAGTGCAACTTGAGGTAGAAAAAGAGATGCAAGAAATGAAGTAGATTTTTGCATTATAAACGACTGATGAAAGGAAAACATTCTAAATGGTTTAACTGATAGGAAATGGTGGGGGTAGGGATGGGCCTTCTATCAAAGTTTGGTGAGGGGAAGCGACAAGGGTGAAGATTAAGATGTCAAGGAAGGCCAAAGAATTTTGGCACCTTCAAGGAGTGGGAAAAATGGGTTAGATAAATCGAGAAATTTTACAGAAAATAGATGGTAATTAGGGTTTATATTCCATTAAGATAAAAGACCGTTTAAGACCAGCGTACAATACAAAGGTAGATTGGTGAAGCTGGCTACGGTTAGAGGAAATGGAAGAACTCAACAACTCGGAGCGCATCTGTGAGGGCTAGTGTGATGTGTGATGAGAGATAAGCTTTAGCTGGAGAGCACGATGCTTGAGATGGGACGCGTACGAAGCTGGGTCAGCTTCAATAATTGTGGAAACAACAGTGGACATTACATCAGGGAGGCGAAGTGTGGAACTAAATACCGAACCCGGAGGAAAAACAGTCAATATTCTTTTTCACTGATCTCCTCCTTAAGCATAACCTAAGCAATACGATAGAAAAAACTCAAGCATTGCGCACCAGGGTCGGCCAAAACTTCTGCCTTCAGTTGACGATGAATACATTAGACAAGGTTGTTAACAGCAGGATGGTAAGCAGTCAACTTTAAGTAATTACATTCACATAAATGCTGTAGATCTTTGCTCAAGGCGGGGTGGGTGACGATTATCGCAAGTGATCAAAAGAGAGATATCCAGCATTCGGCCAGTGTTTAAGCTGCGGCCAGTAAAGAAGCATCCTTCAAGACGGATGCCTGAGACCACACTTCACCCTGCTGATGAGGGACCCAACATGGGCCCATAGCAGATGAGCTATCAAAGTGAATGCAATTGTTTCAAGTCATTGCGATGAAAAAACTCTTTCGCAGATGGTCCGAGGTTTGTCAATAAATAGTATCAAGTTTTGGTTGTGTCGCTGTGGAAGAGCTTAAAACAAGTTATGTCCCAGGCTGCCCTCTTCAAAACCAGAAACTTTGGTGTGGGTCAGTGATCTCAGGCAGACGGCTTTCCAACTTACTTATGCTATGTAGTCCACTGCAAAGAAAGCGTCCAGCGCGATGTCCTACTCTCGTTCCAAATATCGTATATCGGTAATGAATATTAGTAGGGAAGATTTGCATGTCTTCTCTCGCTATTTCGTGAAAAATAACTTTCCTATGCGTTGTGCAAAATGTGAAGATCTTGTGGCCTGTATGCAGTGTAAAAAGTCAACCCTCAAAGAGGTGTCGAAAGTGCTTAAATACGAGGTGAGCAGCCTATAGTTATCCACCAAACATTCTTAAGTGTTTGGGCAGCCACCCGAAGACGACAGGGAAAAGGGCCAGCAGTAGGGGTTCACTGTCTACAGCATGTTGTAGCAATGCACACATGGCTTCTTACTTGACTTCAGTCAAAGGAAATAATTTTCCCGATTGAATAGTGGAGGAGTGAGTCAATGGTGTCAATTTTGCCAAGCCAAGCCAGTTTTCAGCAAGTCTAACGCCCTGGTTGCACACACATGGAATTCCAATCACGGGTGTGGGAATATTTATGTCTTTAGTGAAGCTTATGCATGAGTATCTGTGGCAAATGCCAAACCTATCTCTTGGCTTGCCATCCCACTTTTACCTTCAACATGGATGGAAGTACTGAAATATAACGTATTGAAACTTTTTACTTACAAATAATGAGTAGCATCAGTTACAAAAAGGTAGAAACTGCCTCTGGTATCATTATCAGTGGTAGGTGAGTAAGCGAACTGTGTTTCCAAAGACGAAGCAACTTCACCCAATGTGTCTGCTGTAGTAGTAATAGTCATGTCATTGTCAGCCGATTCACCCATCCATCGTTAAGTAAATTGTGATCCGATGTAAACGGAGAAAAGTGCTCCAATGACGAAGAGATTAGTTGCCTATGATGTGTGTACTTGTGTAGTGGCCAATTGCAGCGTGACTTTTAATCGGCTGTACCAGACAACCAGTAGGCACCTCAATGTCATTCCGTAAGGAAATTCGTCAACTGTAATGCATTCACAAGTGTTACCGTGATAGAAAAATGCTGATTGACATTAATGGCAGCCCAATCACTAGACCGAAATGCTTCCAAAGGGATTTGACCAATCAAAAATCTTAAGTGCTGTGTTAAAGCAGAGTAGTCAATAAGGCACCGAAATCTACACTACAGTGTGACCTAACAAGGTCATTTGTATACGCAGCCACCTGGCCTCATTGCTCTCCGTGAATTGGTTAATAACTTACTAGCCTGATATCTTACTCAAGCCTCCAGTCTCCTAGCTCCCATAGCGTTATGTCCTATCACGCGTTCAGGGATGAATCAGGACAGCAACAAGTAAAACCAGCCTATTCGCAAAACGATCACGACTTTATAGTAGGCCTGTGTCCGACAATGGAGACTATGGAAGGTACGCTCTAATCTGGAGGTCATAGTATGGCCATCAGTGAAGCTATATAGAAGCGTTATAAACATGGGGTCTTACGCCATGCTCTGAAAAAATGATGCTGTTCTTTCTTTATGTTGCCGATGAGCAAATGTTTCACGGCAAGTGATTATGATGCTGCAATGATTGCAGAATACTGTCCAGCATGTAACACTTAACACCACAGCTTTTACTAAATGCAGCTCGCCCTGCAGAGTTCCCGATAATCAGGACTTCCGACGAGTTCAATAGCATCCACTACCATTGATAGATTCGACAGAGTGCTCTTAATGGTCCACACCTTTTTCACCATCTTTGTTCCTACCTCGTGGCTGATAACAACCGTCGGAAGAACTCTACATGACTTAAGATGAATAACGATAGGGAAGAACATGTGAGACAACGCTTAAAGGAAATGTTATAACCAAATTTCGTAAAGTTAAACGTGCGTCAATTGCCTACCGCCACGCCTAAAACTACAAAACTTTCCAGTAAAGTAAACATTAGTTAAGGCTAGAATTGCGAACACTACCCAGGTTTTTCTTAAGGCCACGCTACAATGCAACCGTAAATTACTAAATAAGGACAAAAAGTTAAAACAAACAAACTCATGGAATTTCTGGCAAAACGTATGGATATCTGGTCCTTTTTTAGGATAAATGGCGATACTATTTACGGCGAATACCGACCCTACGAAACAAAATGCTAAAGGTTCAAACAATGAAAATAAAATATAAAATAAAAATAAAAAAATAAAAACAAATTGCTTCTCCACAAAGAAGTAAAAGATGTTTTTAGTTGGAGTAGACACCTTTCTGTTTTACGACAAGTCTGTACGCAAATCTTTGACAATGCAATGCGATTTACTCGAAAAGATTTCTCGAAAAGTTTGCAAATACGCAGAACACCCCCTACCTCGCCTACTTTTATCTAAACTTGCAAACCACAAGACCACGCCTTGGATCCTTTTTGCCATGAAATAATACGAGAATGTAACTCGCAGCTGCTACTCTTCTGAATCAATTATCAACACCGCTGTAGGACGAGGCGCGTAGATCTCCCCCTCCTTGGCCCTCATACTCTTTGAACACCAAGGTTGATCTGATTTTGGTATGTTTATTGGACAAAGAAAGTGAGAAGAGTGGGTGCAAATTTAGGAGGGTGTTGACACGGAACCTGTCTCTGGGCTGCAGGGCATTACGCCTTAGTCATGAGGTCCGTTTCGTCTGAAAGGGACATTTAAACAACCTAAGTACTACACCGCAATGGGTCATGTTGGCATCGGAGCTTATGGGTACTGAAATACAGAGGAAGACAACTTGAAGGCGCAGTTAAGGCACAGTTCCAAAAGACCATTTGAATAGATATCAAATCACCGAGTATATCAACGTTTCTAACCTCACAGGGATAAATAAGACCCTGTGAAG